TATTTATGCAAGTAGGTGTTTCTATGCCATTTAAACCAATTAGCTATTTAAAAAATTGCTAAAAAAAATAAGATAATATTAATTTTAAAATAATTATTAAGAAAAAATTTGCTATAGAAATTTTTATAAGTGTGTAACTTCCATAAATATTTTGTATGAATTTATAATTAGTTAATAGTAGTAATTATTTTATAATAAAATATTTAAAACTATTATTAATTAATCAATACTAAATGCAATATTTAGTTTCTACAATTAAATAAAAAAGAGGGGAAAAAACAGTATAATTGAATAATCCACAATTGCTAATATGCTAGAAACAATAAAAATACATTTAATTATAACGATCACATTATAATTATATATAATTATGAATGATGGTTTTGCAATTATTCGTTTATTTTTTAATTTTTATCACATAGCATGTTTTTAGAGTTTGTGAAGTTCTTACCATATAGCTGATTGCTAATACTTCTATAATAAATAAAACCAATATGTAGTAATTAATAATATATATGAAGTAATTACAAGAACTGGAATAGAAAAACTTCTCTTTTAATTTATTTTGCTAGATTAACAAAATCATCAAGAATACTTGTCCAACACAAACTAAATATTTTACACTTCGCATATACTAGTTCTATAAAATTATTCATCAAATGTATTTAATTAATCACCCACACTTTATTAAAAGAGAGAAAAAAAAAAAGGCTAAAAAATGTGAATATCATGTTTGGCTTTATACGTATTACTATTACCAGTGAGCAATTGTTGGGAGGGACATTAAAAAATGAGTTGAAAAGACTGCCGGCCGATGAAAAAGTTAAAAGTGGCAAAACGGCTGTCAACTTTATTTGAGTTAATTATTGGCGATTAAATCTATATCTATCTATATATACATACTGAGGAGCAACAAAACATTTAGGGCTTAATTGTTTATGAATTATTTCATTCTCATTTATTTCATACTCAAAATTTAACCCAACTTTAATTCAACCCCACTATCTTTAATATTATTCATATAATTAAATAATACAAACTAATCATTCTTACACATCACATCAACTTCAATTCACTATTCATCCACTCACATAATTTTAACTACCAATCATTTCCAGTCATTTATCTCATACGTTTACATCAAATCAATTTTAATTATTTTATTTTAAATATTAATTATTATAATATATTCTTAAAATTCCACTAACAACTAATCATACCACCTTTTTCAAAATTAACTATGGTTAACCAAAATAATTCATTTTGAACAAATTATTTCATAAACAATCACCCCCTTAATTTTATTACCATGTATTAAATTTTATTCTCCCTCCAAAATTTTCAGCATTCAAAATGAATCGTTATTTGAATGGAAAAAATGTGATAGCTGACCAAAAAAATTTTATTCTCCCTCCAAAATTTTCAGCATTCAAAATTTTCGGCAAATTCCTTTTCCTCAAAAAAATTTGAATCGTTATTTGAATGGAAAAAATGTGATAGCTGACCTAAAAAATTTAAAAGTAACTTCCACACAAATCCTTTCAATTTATAAATGAATTGAAATTATTTATTGGTCTCAAATTAAAATTTTATGTTTAATAATTCTTAAAATGTATATTGTGTCACGAAGTTATGTATTAACGACGCACTTTTGAAAAAGTGTCGCGGATTAAAATTTACCTACACATCTAGGTTATGTCACAAATAAATTCGTTACATCAAATTTAGCAACACAGCTCGCGACACTTTTGCAAGTATAGGTAAATTAATTTGTGACAGTAATAAACTTNATTCGAGGGCGAATCCTTCTCAACTGGGGGAGGATGATGGAGACGAGCTCGCAATAGCTTTTCTGGACAAATACGATCGGCTCCGGGTTTAAGCCGTTTATTATTATTCTACTTTATATATTATTTCCATCTTTATTTTGAGTAATTAAATAAATATCTTGCAATATGTTAGGCAAGATACTAGCAGTAGGACTCTTTCATTTATTTATCTGTCAAGCATCAAACGTGAAAGACAGATTATTGTGAATTGAAATATAATTGTCGTTCGTTCTTGATAGAGTATCTCATCTTCTTTGAGAGAGTATCTCATTTTATTCCCAATCGTACTATGCTCTACATCAGTTGGTATCCAGAGACCAGCGACGATCCACGATGCCGCCAAAGAGAGATAACACCGATGATCGTTTCCAATGAATGGAAGAGCGATTCCAAGGCGTGGATGAACGATTTACGGACCTCTCGTCCGGGATTGAGGAGATTCGCCAGGCTATGAACACCATGATGAAGGAGAATCGTGCGAGACGCGACGGCGGCGACCGGGCCGGGCGCGGTGGGCTTCGCGGAGGCCGTGGAGGGCGTGGCTATGGCGGGGCGCCCCGCGCTGAAGGACAGCGACGGCGGCCGGCTGAGGACAAGTTCTTCCGGCAGAGCGACGATGGAGGCGGGCGTTTTGCTCACGGCGGTGGTGGAGGTGATTTCAGGCGCCGTGAGGTTCGCTATCAGGGGGCCCGAGAGTACGAAGATGACGAGAATGATTGGAGGTATCCTCGACAAGGGATTGGGGATGGCGGTCCGCATTTCGAGGATGATGAAAACTGGGAGTTCGATCATCAGAGGCGAGCTTGGGCCCGTGATCGTGAGGGGTTTGAGCGCTTGGGGATGAACCGACCTGACGGAAGGCGTCCGATAGAAGGGGGTGATGAGTCGCGTTGGGCGCAGGGGTTTCGTGTGGAGATTCCCGAGTGTACAGGCGGCGTGGATGGTTCGGAATTTTTTGACTGGTGGGCTACGGTAGAGGCCGCCCTTCGGTTTAAAGGAGTGCCCGAGGATAGACGTGTTGCTCTGGTCGCCACTCGTTTTTGTGGTCGGGCAACAACATGGTGGATGCAACTCTCGAGCCTGCGGCATCGTCAAGGGAAGCCAGAATTATCATCTTGGATGAAGTTCCGTAAGTATGTAGAGCGTGAGTTCGTACCATTCAACTACGATAGTCTTGTGTATCAACAATTGCAGAACTTGCGACAGGGATCTCGTTCGGTGGATGAATACACGAACGAGTTTTATCGTCTCCTAACTCGTGTGGAGTTACGGGAGACCAAGAATCAGTTGGTGTCCTGCCATGTCGGCGGGTTACGTCCGTCATTACGTGATACGTTGAACCTCTTCCGACCGGATTTGATATCGGATGCTCACCAACGGGCCATCCTCGTGGAGTTGCAGGCTGGCTCGGGCTTCTCGTCTTCCTCACGACAAGGGACAGCTTCGGGTGCGGGTGTTTCGGATGGACGTTCGGCATCGACGGCGGGTCCTGTTGCGAGTCAAGGTGCTGTCGCGAGCCACTTTCCAGCAGGTGGCAGGAGTCAGCAGCGTCCGGGAGGAGCTGGCGTACCACAACAGTCGACGGCTGCGGCACGGACAGTGGCCGGGTTGCGATGTTTCGGCTGTGGCGAGGTGGGGCATAGACAAGCTGTATGTCCACGGGCTGCCGGATAGCGAGCTTTGTTTACCGAGGAATCAGCGGAATTTTCTGCAGCCGCAGCATATGATGGCCCTCCAATTTTCGATAAAGAGCCGGAGATTCCTGAGGTGCATGTCTCGGGAGACGTGGGTCACGCGCTTGTCCTTCGTCGCTCTCTTTTGTCCCCGCCTGTCACTTCCATTGACGAGGGACTACGTCGGCGTCTTTTTGAATTTACGTGCACTGTGGGTGGTAGGGTATGCCGTTATGTTATTGATTCTGGGCCCTGCGAAAACGTAATCTCTGCTGATGCCGTGGCAAAGCTTGGGTTGTCGACGGAGCAGCATCTAGCTCCTTATGCGCTCGCATGGATACAACGTGACAACGTTGTCCCTGTTGACCGACAAGTGTTGGTGTCTTTCTCCATTGGTTCTGCATATAAGGATGAGGTGTGGTGTGATGTCGTGCCAATGGATGATTGGCACCTTATCTTAGGGCGTCCTTGGCAGTTTGATCGTGCCGTGTTGCATAATGGGCGCCTTAACACGTATGCATTCCTGTTTGGGGGCACCCACTTTGTTTTACATTCTCGGCCCCCTGTTCGGTTCCTTGGCCACCGCCGTCGACGGCCTTCTTCCTTTCTCGCGTCGAAGCATGTGAGGAGATGTTCGGTTCGTTGGTCGACCGTTCGATGGTGTTTGATGTGGGCGACTTTGTGTGGGTTGTTTCCAAAACAGACGGTCGGATCGGCCCCTACGAGATTGTCGACCACCTTAGTCCGGATGCCTACCGTCTGTGTTTGCCTTCGCATGTGTGTTTGCCGGATGTTTTCCATGTTACACAGTTGGCCCCTTTGCAGCTCGACGACTCCGAAGGAGACAAGCACGGTTCGGATTCGAGGGCGAATCCTTCTCAACTGGGGGAGGATGATGGAGACGAGCTCACAATAGCTTTTCTAGACAAATACGATCGGCTCCGGGTTTAAGCCGTTTATTATTATTCTACTTTATATATTATTTCCATCTTTATTTTGAGTAATTAAATAAATATCTTGCAATATGTTAGGCAAGATACTAGTAGTAGGACTCTTTCATTTATTTATCTGCCAAGCATCAAACGTGAAAGACAGATTATTGTGAATTGAAATAAAATTGTCGTTCGTTCTTGAGAGAGTATCTCATCTTCTTTGAGAGAGTATCTCATTTTATTCTCAATCGTACTACGCTCTACATCAGTCGCTAAATGCAGTTTTTGTTGTAGTGATAAACAAGTAACTCTGTGGGGCCACTCAGGCTATAGTCAGGTCAAATTAAGTGTGGCTCTGCCTAGGGTATAAACCAGTAGAATCGAGCTCAATCGAACTCGGCTCGGCTTGTTCACTTAACGAGCTCATAATCCAGCTTGAGTTCAGCACGTTTATCAATTTTAACAAGTCGAATTCAAGTCTTAACGAGTCGAACTATAAAAAATTACATAACAATTATTTTTTTGAGTATTATCGAGCCGAGTCGAGTTTTGCTTGTCAACCAAACGAGCTTTAAATGGGCTCGAGCCGAAGACTTAACGAGCCAAGATAATGAACAACTTTTTTAATTTAACAGATCCTCTGCCCTTGAGTCGACCCGTTTAGCAGATATCTTCTCACAAAAATATTTGTGCGATAAAATATTATAATCTATACTTATATTAAAGGGGGTACCATTTACCAAATTAAGTAGCCAGAAAAGTCAACAACATTTATTGCATTACTATTTTCGTATTATATTATATAAAAGGATATTCTATTTACTACATTTATTATCCAAAAAAGTCAACTGCATTAAATGTCATTACTATTTTGGTATTATAATATTTTATTTATTTAATTGATTTATTTATTTGTTTTATTTTAAATATTAATTTATTTATTTGTTTTATTTTAAAAAGGTAAGTATAATAAAAAGATTTTAATAATAAAAAATTAAATACCAAATAAAAATGTACACTTTGACTTATTTGATTATATTTGGTATTTGATTATACCAAATATATTCCTATTTAGTATATACATTAAATACTTACTAACGTATTTATTTATTTTATTTGTCAAAGTTAAGTATAGATTTGTTTATATTATCAAACCATAAAAAATATTAAATCCATATTGTAAAAAAAAATTCATATAATTTTATAACAATTCTACTACACTATTTAACAATATTCCTTTTTTATTATATAATAAAATAATAATTAAACATTATATGGTGAACAACAATAAGTAAAACTGTTACTCTCTCTTATATCAAGGGATAAATTTATATGCTAAAATTAAATTTTTATTAGTATAAATGTTTTAGTGAGATAATATATTAGTTATTTTACAAGCTAGCCCTAACATGCTCATATTTAATGTTTTAAAAGATGTAGAAAAAACTTATAATAACTCTATTGTTTTTTAGACTTAAACGTTGATTTAAAGAGGTAAAAATTCCTAATTTTTTAGACTTAAACGTTGATTAACACCATAGATTGAGAGTTTATATTTAGTAAAACTCCTAATTGTAATAAAAAAATTAATTTTTGCTATATTTTAGAATATCTTTAAATTCATTATAAAAAAAAAAGAAAAAAAAAACTACAATGAAAAAAACAAGTCAGCTATATATCGATTTGTTGTACTTGTCAAATCACATTGACAATTTGGCTAACTCATTGATTAAAATATTATTTTGTCAGTAGTCTTAATGTACAAGAGACTTTAAGACTCCACTTGAATATTATAAAATTTTTATTGAACATCGTTTAATTTCTTGCGTATTATAAACTTTTATTGAATATTGCATCTTATAATATAATATTCTCCAAATAAATATATCTCGCGGGTCACGTACTATATATATATTCCGTACATTTTTCTTTATTCATGTATATAATTATAGGTCTGGAGCCTTAAAATTGTGCACCCCGCACAGACTCTGTACTAGTTAATTAATGAAACTGCATATAACATTAGCCCTCGGCTAAAAAGGTGCTCCAACTTTAATAGCTCCACCATGTGCTAATTATGTTTATAAAACAAAATATTTTTTTTATTAGCAAGAAAAAAGAACCAAAACCAGAAAAAATATGCTTCTTTTAACAGTGAACCTCCAAACAATAATAGTGAAGTTCAGGAAAACCGAGTCAGCAAACTCTGTTCGTGCGTGAACACAAATGCGGCTACCAAATCTTATTGATTTAAAAAACACTTTCCCGTTACTTCTTTTTTCTTGATTTCTCAATTTTGACTATAGTAAATGCCTACAGTTTCATGAACTGTTAAAAGGTCATCTTCACAAGGTTGAAAGGAATGAATATTGTGAATGAATTAAAATAAGATAGCTGAGTAGCTTCCATCTCCACCAAGCTTACCTTTTACTGTTGTGCCAAAATTGTTATTAAGCCATTTTCTCATCACCTAACTCTGATAACTTCACTCTGCCTCTCTCTCTACCACATAATTTTAATTTTTTATATATACATATAATATACTATATTCTTTCTCATACTCATTCATATTCCTTACCTGAAACCCACCACAAGCAACAATTATCTATCCATTTTTTTTCGCTTGCGCATTAATTTATTATCGAATCGCCGTTTTTAGCATCCTATGTACCTGTACTGCCTCTGCAAATACAGCCTTTTTGCTGTCGTCTTCTGGAATTTTGTAAAAACTTTGCTTTTCGTAATGTGGTGTTGTATTACTGGTAAACGGGGACTTTCAGATTTGCAATATTAGAAGTGCCTTTGAGTAAAGGTTTGACCTTTTTGAGGGGTTCTTGAAATGTGGGATTTTCGGATGCTGCTCTCTTAAGGTTTTATCTTTTTCGGACAGAGATCTGTTGTTAAGGGGCTCGTGTTTTAAGTTTTTAAGGATGTAAAATCGGGAAGAGTTTTTCAAGATCTGGCATTTGAGAGTGTTTATTGTGCTGTGTTGTTCTGAGGAAGGTAAGAACCTGAAACCCCGTGTTGATTTTAAACTATTGTCCTTTTGTCTGGTAAAATCGTGCATTGTTTTGCTTTTTTTGGATTTATATTGGCAGTTACATTCCTTTAACACAGTTTCTAACTAATTTGCTACTTATTTTGTACACCCCGAATGAAAATATCAAGTTTCTTGCCAGAAAACCTGGATTATCCATTTTTAGCAGATCAATAAATCATGCTTTTTGTTCACCGTTATTCCTAATATCTGAATTTCTACATTGTCTCAGGTAAATATCATTTAAAAAAAAAAATTCTAAATTTATGGCTTCTGATCTCAACTCCGATCTCTCGAGGAAAGCCGGCCTACTCAGCCTCAAGGTCTGGGAAGTCATCGGCATAATAGTCGGCTTACTAATCGTGCTCGTCCTCTTTCTCCTAATATTCTATTTAATTTCAAGAAAAAAATTAAGGGGAGCTCAAGCTCAAGAAAAGCTCCCCCTCAGCCAAATACCGACAGTCTCGAAAGAAATCAAAGAGGTTCGAGTCGAACAAGTGTCGGCTGACGAATTCACCCCTGGCGAAGGCATTCTTTTAACGATCCACGACAAGTTGAGTGATAAAGATTCAGACAAGGTTTTGGTTCACCTTGGAATGCCAAAGGGTAAAAACGGCAATAAAAACAATAGTAGTCGTTCGGGCTCTTTTCACAACGTGGATAGAGATTGTTTTGGTTCGGAAGAGGGGAGTTCTGGCACGTTTAACAAGGCTTCGTGTTCGCACCCTATTACGGCTCCCTCGCCTTTGAGTGGGCTGCCTGAGTTTTCTCACTTGGGTTGGGGTCATTGGTTTACTTTGAGGGATCTTGAATTGGCTACGGATAGGTTTTCGAAGGAGCATGTTATTGGGGAAGGGGGCTATGGGGTTGTTTACAGAGGGAAGCTGATTAATGGGACTCATGTGGCTGTTAAGAAACTGCTCAACAATTTGTGAGTCTTTTTTTTTTCTTGGTAGATATACTAATATTAGGTGCAACTTGTAAACTGTAATTGTTTTTTGCTGTCCCTTCTACTAGAGGTTTGTTCCTTCAAAATATCGGATTTTCTTTTTTTTGCAGCATGATTTAATCCATGTCACTATGTCTTTCAGATGTCGTATCTCTTGAGAAGTTAATGTTTTTAAGGATAACATGATCTTTACTTTTATTGCTCAGACCAAAAACACCTGAATGTCATAATGTTAGGTTGTTAATGCTTGGAACCATGTTTCTTCTGGGCCTATTTTCTTTTTCTTTTTCTTAACTTTTTGGCTTATCTAACTAACTTGTAATGTGTGTGTGTATCATGCCCTTCATTCTTTGAAAATTATTATTTTACTGCTTGATTTACTTCCTTTTTTCAGCTTGTAATGTTTGTAGCGTGTGTGTGTGTGTGTGAAAATGAGACCGTATACAGAAGTTCTGCACATTTTTAAAATGTTGGGAATTTATTCATTTGGTTCAAAGAACACACGTGTGCGCACACACATGCATATATATATAAATGTGTGTGTTGTGTATATATATTAACAGCTTACAAAACATTCTTTTAGTTTTTTCCTTTTAATGGTGTTCTTGTGTGTTTATGTTTTTGACGTGCTGATGAACAGAGGTCAAGCAGAAAAGGAATTCAGAGTGGAGGTGGAGGCTATTGGCCACGTGCGCCACAAAAATTTGGTTCGGCTTCTCGGCTACTGCATTGAAGGAACTCATAGGTATGGCTTTTTATGAAAACTCCTATTTTGTTATATGTAACGTCGAGTCAAGTGAAATAGAGTCAAGTTTATTTTCATATTTAAAAACAGACTGAAAAATGATATTATTTCAGGATGCTAGTTTACGAGTATGTCAATAACGGCAATTTAGAACAGTGGCTTCATGGTGGGATGCGTCACCATGGCTTTCTCACTTGGGAAGCTAGGATGAAAGTTCTACTTGGCACAGCTAAGGCGTAAGCCATTTTCTTTTAATAAAAAATAATACTTGGCAGTTATTGTGAATACTCGACACTTGACATTGGTTCTTGTAGGCTTGCCTACTTACACGAGGCGATTGAGCCAAAAGTGGTTCATAGGGACATAAAATCTAGCAACATATTAATTGATGAGGAGTTTAATGCTAAGGTCTCTGATTTTGGCTTGGCTAAGCTGCTTGGTGCTGGAAAAACTCATATCACCACTCGAGTCATGGGTACTTTTGGGTCGGTTCCTCCTTTTTTTTTTCCTACTATTTTTCATCTTCCCTATTCCTTTTTGCTTTCTTTATTATGTAGTATTTCATTCTGATAGTTATTCGGCTTCTTACAGCTCTGCACATATTGAAATGCTGGATAATCAATCATAGAGCTCTTCGTTTTGATTTGACCTGTGAATTAATATATATTGCACTTTAATTTTGAAATATTCAGATATGTGGCTCCTGAATATGCTAATACCGGGCTTTTAAATGAAAAGAGTGATGTGTATAGCTTTGGGGTTCTTTTGTTGGAAGCAATTACGGGTAGGGATCCTGTAGATTACGGCCGTCCTACTCCAGAGGTGAATTATTTTGTTCATTATCTCTATCTTCATTAAATTTATCCTATTTTTGTTATATGAAAATTGCAGCAAAAAAAAATCCTATGTATTTCTATTAAACCGAGAACGATTGCTTATTTTACAATCATCTGTGCACATGGTTAAATTTTTCTTTGACCTCTTCTAAGAGATACCATAATGAATTACTAAACAATGCTCGTAAGGTTCAAGTTTATTGTGGAAAGTCCAATTGTCTTCCATAATTACAAAATGCCCCCTTAAACATTTGGTCTTTCGTTGACAGGTTAATTTGGTCGACTGGCTGAAAATGATGGTCGGGAACAGGCGGTCAGAGGAGGTCGTTGACCCAAACATCGACACTAAGCCGTCAATCAGGGCCCTCAAAAGAGGTCTGTTGACTGCTTTGAGATGCGTTGACCCAGATTCGGACAAGCGTCCAAGAATGAGCCAGGTTGTCAGAATGCTCGAGTCTGAAGAATATCCCATACCTAGAGAGGTCAGTTGACCACCTGGAATTATGTTTTATATTATTATTATTATTATTTTTTTTTGGGCTTATTAATATTGTCAGGTTGAAATTTCATTAATAGAATTTGAACTGTACTTGTTCTAAAGCAATGCACGAAAAAGTTTGTTCGTAATATTGAATTGCTTTAAATAACTAGGACCGGAGGCACAGAAAAACTCGAGCAAGCAGCATCGAGATTGATATCCATCGTGAAAACTATGATACCGATAAAAGCGAAGGTCAGGATTTAAGGCCAGAGAGTAAGAGAAATTCTTGATCAGAAACTGACGATAAATTTGCATTATGGAAAGGCAATATCATTTGCTCATTGAGGTATAGGTAGAGGAAGAAGAGTACAGTAGATAAATAGTTTGGAATACGGGCTTTTTCTTCNAAATGTGTTCTGTTTTATTGGATTCATAATTTGACTGACATTCATTTTTTATTAGTTTGCATGATTATTTTGGATAAGTCAATTTTGTTAATGAATTGATAGTTAAATAGCCTAGAAGGCAGAAATTGTACATTTGTTTCAAATTGAATCACAATGACATTATCCAGCCGTGGCATGCATGTTCTATTTTTCATTTTTAATTCTATAATTTATTCTACTGGATGAATGACATGTGTACAAACATAAATATATTTTTTAACAAGCACATTAGTAATACACGATATTGCACAGTTTTACCTTTTTCTGAAGCTAGAGGACCAATTTGCAATTAATTGAACATATCGCCGTCCTTGTCTGCAAAATCTTCTCCCTTTCTACACTCCTTCACCTCCTACGATACCCTATAGATTGTCCAGTCGCCGCCATGGCAGCTTCCGGTAGAGACCGAATCGACGAAGATACAGTTCGCAAAGCAGTGACTGCCCTCCTCAAATGGAAGAAGAAGAAGAAATTAAACTCAAAATCCGACCTTGAGAAGCTCCACCACGAAGAGGAAGAAGAAGAAGATCATGAAGACGAAGGCGACGATTTCGTATACCTCTCAGTAACCCTAAAAAAAGCCCCACCGAAAACCTATACACTCGCGCCCCATCGTATCCCCCTCCGCCACTCCCTTCTCCCCGTAGATTACTCCGCCTTGAACCTCTGCCTCATCGTTGACGGCAAAACAATCACATCCGAATCGGCGCAGAAGATTCTCGCCGCTCGAGGCATTTCATTCATCAGGCGTGTTTTCAAGCTCTCGAACCTCAAATCCGACTACAAGTCCTTCGATTCGAAGCAGAAGCTGTACAACTCGTTCGATGTGTTTCTGGCGGACAAACGCATCGTCTCCTTGCTTCCTAAGGTGATGGGCAAGGTTTTCTACAAGAAGAAGAGGAAAATCCCTCTGCCGCTTGACTTGAACGCTGATGGCAGCAATTGGAAGGAGGAGATGGAAAAGGCGTGTAATTCGAGCTTGCTGTGTTTGAGCAGCGGGACTTGTAGTGCGGTGAGAGTGGGGAAATGGGGTGTTAATGAAGGTGATGAGATTGTGGAGAATGTGTTTGAAGCTGTTGATGGTGTTCTTCAGGTTGTGCCCAGAAAATGGAGTGGGATTACGTGCTTTCACTTGAAGTTTTCGGATTCTCTGGCATTGCCTGTTTATGAGAGAAGATTTGTTTCGCAGTAAACTCTGAATTTGGTGGAGAAAATTCAAGTGCTGTGACAAATTTGAACAATCATCAAGTGGGGTTGAAATTTGGTGGCATGCAGTTTTGGTATTTTCAACTTTCTTTCTCACTTTTTTTTTTTTTGGGTAATGTTTGTTTATGTTCCTGTTACAGCTTTGTGCGGTGTGATTTGCTTGCTCTAGTAGTTTAGGTTGTCAGCTTCATGGAGGATATTACTATTTGTTATCATGACATTTTTTCTCAAATCTGAAATCTGTGACTTGTGTGGTTTGTTCGCCATTGTCTTCTCTCTTTTACAGAATTTGATATGAGTTCTTAGCAGATTGGAAAAATCGATAGCTACAGTGTGAATGTGGCTATCCTTCTGTATGGAGCTTCAACAGGTTCAAAGTTACAATATAAGATCCTTAATGTTTGATGCCTTATTTTTATCATACTCATCTTGTACTTTCTCACATTTTAAATTCCCTTCTGAAAAATGTAACATTTAGTCTATTTAGCCATTGTTTAGAGACCGATTAAAGCCAAGGTTTCTTTGGAAACTTATTTGGGATTTCTTAGTAATTGTACATTACTCGGAACCTAGAGCAGTTTGTGATTATCCCTACACCTGAATCTTATGAACAAGTTTCTTGCCTGGAGAAAGCATAATAGTATGATTGTGAAATGCTACCTATTTGGCAATAATATTTAGTTGACGATGTTGCGTAACGCTGGCAGATGCAAGCTGATGTTATGTTTCATGTCTACGGATGCAGAGAAATAGAACTACCTTGTGTTATAAACTGCCCTCAAGTTCTGTTTGGCCTAATTACTAAAAAAGAATGTTCTCATGGTCATTTCCATTTTGGCCTAATTACATAACTGTCACCTAATGGAGTCATAGAACTTTACTAACCATTAATTGTAAGGAATGATACAAGTGTGGTTCTTTTACTTTCTACGTTATGCGTTTCCTTTTTTCCTCGATTTCCTCGAAGCTAATTTGTTGTCGCTATAGTGAAGTTTTCAATTTCAAAGTTTCGACCTTGATCAGTTCTTTTGAAAAAGGCTTCGCAGACCCCCGAGATAGCTAAAAGATCATCGCAGGTTACAATTACATTTGATCTCATGCTTATGTCCATCTTTTCCCCTTACAACATTTTCTTTGCTATTTTCACAAAGCTGCTTAGGTTTGCCATATGATTGAAATTTTTGTTCTTGTTAATGTTATCTCAACTAACGCTTGTTGGATTTCGCCTTTTAATTTGGACAAACTATATTTCCACAATGACTAGTCGTCAAGTTACATGAACTCATTCAGGCATCTGCTCGTTAACTCATTTAGGCATTTGCTTAGTGGTCAAGAGATGTTCATGTGTAAGGCCACTGTTATGTAAGGTCAAGTTACTTAGAGCATCTTTAAAATACTTCCTTTTCAATTTTCAATATTGGGCATCATCCAACATCACACCTGATACGCAAATTGTCCTTGGGTCGGGTTAAATTGCCACCGCCATGAATGATATCTTGTCTCGAGCTCTTATGCTGGAGAGGAGTCTCGGCAGAAAAACCTCCGACGTTCAAGTCGATATTTCCCTGTGAGAAAATATGTAAACTATAAGCTTATACACGTAAATATGCGTTAAATCTGAAATAGAACATGATCCCCTTTTGTATTCTAGGGTATATTTGACAATTTTCTTACGTATTATTACTTTTTTTATTAATTTATACACTTCAATTTATAATATTTCACTCTTTTATTTATTAATACACTTCAATTTATAATATACCCTAAAAAGAAATATAGACCATGCATCGCACAGATTACGTGCTAGTTGGGACAAATACGGTGAATTGTTTTTGTATTTTATAAAAAAAACTACTTAATTTGCATACACAAATTCCAACATTTTAACCCAACTATTTTTTTTAACTCAATTTTACTCAACCCCACTATCATCAATATTATCAATATAGTTAAATAATATCAATCATTCATACACACCACATTAACATTAATTCACTATTCATTTACTCACATTATTTTAACTAACCATTCAAATCATCTCTCTCCTACTTTTACATTAAATTAATTTTAATTATTTTATTTTAATTACTAATTTAATATACTTATTAACAATTAACTATACCATCTTTTTCGAAATTAACCAAAAAATCCATCAATAAAATTTTTATATCCAAACATGCTTATGTGTGGGAATAATCTATTTGGTGATTGTTTTTTTTTATGGCAAATAATTTGTGAGTTGTTGACAATGATGAAATACAAAATATAAGTATTGTTTGTACATTTTAAATAAATAAATAATACTATTAATTTAAATTAAAATAAAACAAAAAAAATATTTTAATTATTAATATATTGTAAATATTTTTTTATATTTTTATACATATTTTATAGTATTTTTTTTTTAAAAAAAATGAGGTGTGCCACGGGCCCCCCTGCCCTCATTTAGCTCTGTCATTGACCATATTCATTGCAATGGAATATTTCCATAGGATTTATTCCAACAAAATTTATACTATTCGAATATACTTTGTTGTGTTATGAAATAATAAAATAATGTATGTGAATGACTATTTTGCCCTCGATCTATTTGTATTATTACAAATTGTGCCATCAGGAGTTTCCTATAAATAGGAGCTTCAGTTATAATGAAAAACACACCTAAGAGAATACATTTTCTCTATTCTCTCTCTTTCTCTCTAGTTTTATAACACGTTATCAGCACGAGTCTCTACCCTCTAGAGCTCGATTTGTAATATGACGAGAGTATGTTCTACAGTTGCGTCTTATAGACGATCTTCTGTATCAAAAATCAAATTATTACAAGTCGATATTTTTCTTGTGATCCTTATCAAAAACTCTCGCCCATTAAATTAAAAATAAAATAAAAATAAATAAATACTACCACTCTTCTCAAAATCTAAAACCATAGAAAATAGATTTTGGGCACAACGCATGTGTGCTTCGCTGTAGAAGACGACCTCCTTGACTTCATATTCGAAGACTATGACGGTAAGGAAGGGGTGGTCGACCGAACCATTGTCAAAGGCGGTGACTCCACCTCCTCTTCCACCTTGGAATCCTTGGACCCGGCGGTGATGCTGCTCTGCCGTGGGACTCAGGCTGGTTTATTCCCTGTAAGTTTTACCTTTTTTGAATTCATGTGTGTATGGAAAATCTAGGGGATAGAGATTTCTCAACTAAATTTTTTCCAACAAAGTGAGTTGAGCTGAAAAAAAATAATAATAATAATAAATGATAGAAGAAAGTCTATCTCAGCAACATACTGCGATGATAAAGTCGGCATATATTCTCATCACTCCATTATTAATAATGTTTAATATTCCACTTGTGTGATCCCACTTGGAATAATTTGACTTTATGCATATCCTTGAATTGTAGCAGCAATCAATTGCCAACATTGTGTACCCCATAGGAATTATTGCCAATAAATGTGACGTGTACCCACTTTTAATACTAGATATTTGTATAAATTAATGGCCACCACAAAATTGAAAGAAAAATCTCATTATATTGTGAAAATTATTTGGTACATGGTTAAAAATTCATTATTTGTAGTTCCATGTTAACAAGTTAAATAAGAGCTTCATTTTGAGTAATATTGATATGGTTTATTATCACACATCAAATATATTATGGTTATGTAATGTTTGAATTTTATTATTGTGAAAATTATTTGGTATGTGAATATGCAAATATTTATAGATTGACCCGTGTGATATGAAAAATAAATATGTGTGGCTACATAGACCGGCCAGTGCGGCTCTGCCGCCGGCAAGTGATATTTAGCCAACGGGCCAACTGTTGAAATATGAAAAATCATGTGAAATGGTCGAGCAGTGTATCCACTGAAATAGACAATACAAAAGAAGATTTGATCAACTAAGTGAACCGGTCAATGTATTGAATAATGATGACCGGCGATGGCCAGATGATAAGTGTATTGAATAATGATGACCGGTGATGGCCAAAATGAAAAACATATTAATGATAACCGGTGATATGGAATGACCATATGATATGGCCATGTGCAAACAAATATACATATAAAAGGATATGAATGGCTATATATATACATGGGCCGACCAGTGCGGCTCTGCCGCCGGCGACGGGCAGTACAAATTAAGTGATAGCCGATGAATGAAATTAATGATACTGTGTATCCGGCCATGTGAAAAGCTGATTAAAGTCCTGATCATGAAAGGACATTATATGGAATAATATGATCCTGGAGAAATAATTGATAAATTCTCCAAATTTATGGAAAAACGAATATTGACGAGATGGTACCAGTAGTTACCACGTGATTAATGTGATGTCGAAAGTTATGATATAATGATTAAATGATATCCTTGTATAAATGGTACTCAAAAATACCATATAACGATTAAACAAAATGATGAAATGGTACTAGAAGCTACCATTGGATGATTGAACAAAATGAGAAAGTGGTATCAAAAGCTACCAGCTATGGGTGATCACACAAAAATGATTTCTCAATATATTATATAAGTCTAAGGGGCTATATCAGATGACGAGATCACATTGGGATACGAGATCATACAGAGATTACAATAAAGTGCTCCGGAAGAAGCACAAATGATAGTGATTGTAGTCATGAACTACTATACACTGAGAAAAATCGAAATTGATATTATTATTACTGAGAAACAAGTACAAAATGTTCAGATGGTGGAAATATGGAAAAGAGGCAGTAAATACTCGATGAATACAAAATACACAAAGATTACATAATAGAACCCATTAAAGAAGGGTGTGTCTCGAGAGTGTAAAACTCCGTAACTCTGCCACCCATGAATGATATCTGGGTTCATAATGAGAGATCTAAAGGATCAAAAGCTCTTTTTCGCTTGACCCCTTGTGTTTCCACAGAATCTTGAAATGTGATGCATTCTTGAAGCTTTTTGATAAGTTTAGCAGACGTGTCAGCAGATTTGAATACTT